AATATTTAATTAAATTTAAAAAAAATCAAAAATGTTTTAACAAATTAATGAATCTGATATATGGCATAGAGTCTGTTGAATCTGTACTGGAATTAAGAGAGTCAAAAAATTGTGTAGTAGCAAACCAATATCTGAACCTTAATAAGAAGGCAGAATGTACTATCGAAGGAGATCTGAATCTAAGAGTCCAGCTGTGTATCAGAAGATTCCGTTACAGTGAAGTCCTAACACCAAGAAGTATCAATTGACACAATAAGTAACGGCGTTCTATATGTTGAGTGTATTTACTTAATTTGTGGAAGATTGGTTGGTACGTTCCAACCACGCGCTACCATTAATTTCCTCATGGTCGTCCGCATAACTTGTGTGTAAACAAAATTAATTAAATGGAGTCAAAGTTACCACGTGGAGGATCCAGATAAGGGACAGGAGTTGTTAGCTCAGGCAACTTAGTACTATTCATGCAGCTTAGGAATTTGTGGCCAACTTTCACTAGTTAAAGACGCATTACAAGAAGAAGATATTTTTACAACTATAAACCCGAAATCCAGTTTTATTGGATATTTTAAAAAGAAGTACTCGTGTGTACCGAGACTGTTAATGCAAGATCAACGATTTCCAGCAACCAATACTTATTTAATTTCAATCAAATATCCTATTTCATCGTGACTCGAAAGCATGATTCCTGGTGTAAAGCGGTCCTCGAATGGCGACCGTGGGGTGACAAACGTCGATGCGTTGCAAGGATGACACAGAGAAAGTGGCGTGGTTGAATTGGATACAGGTGGCACAGAACCTAGAGAAGTGGCAGAAATTGAAGGAGGCCTGTACCGATATGGTTGAGAACGGCTAGAAAGAAGAAGAAGATCCTATTTTAAAGAGTCAAATGGAGATTTTGCCTAATTTTTATGTTTACATCCAATTCAATTATCACATATATGAAAAGATATGTCAATTATTATGTATTAATCCAATTTTTATATCAACATCAGCGTCATAAACCTAATTCATTTAATTTAATTATCTGGGTGGTGTATTTATCAGGAAGATAATAATAAGTAATTTAGCTGTTGTTCACATATAATAAAATAAATTAAAATCCCCTTAAGTATTTGGATGGTGTTGTGCATATATAACAATTCTTTTTGTTGTTTTTAATAATATTGTTTTTCTTGGAAGGAAGAAACCCTTATGGATGCCATAGATGCTGCAAGTATACTCAGTGATTTATGGACTAAAACCTCCTCGCTATAAATTACTCTCCGCAGAGTCGAGGTCCGTACCCTTTTTTGTTTCTTTCCTTTTTGTTATAACTATAACATTCCGTACCGAACCTGAGATATTGAGTGCTAGTGTTATTTTTCTGTGTACAGGGCGGTGTAAAGTTTGGTACATGTGCGAGTAGTGGTACGATGGCCATCCATCCGAGATGCGGCATTTTTGCTTCTTATCCTTGGCGGCGAACTTGCTTTTCTATGAAAGATCCTGCGCCCGAGTGAGTCGCACACCCTGCACCATAGGTAAATCCAGCGCCATGTGCTAATGCAGAATCAAGGTAACAATCTGTTTACCAGGCAGTATAACCCTAGAAAGATAACCTACGTTGAAACGACGTATTCGATTTTGAAAAATCGGTATAATTCCTTCGTATTAAGCACCAGTGCACCCGCCCGTTCCTGCCAACTCAGTCGACCCACAGAGCTTGCAGAAGACACTGGTGTCGCTGTGTGTGTGAGACTCTACTTGTGTAAGTAAGTGACGTATGGTTATTTTTTGCGTTAGTTTTTGACTTTGGTGTTATTGTGTAGTCAATAGGCTTTCGTGATTTATGTGCGAATAAATATTATATATTTTTAATTACAAATTATAATTTTTTTACAGGCTATGTTATTACAACAAAATGACGTGATTAGGTTTTGTAAAAGATGCAGAGATATTCCGGTTACTACAAGCATTGAGTGACGGAGAGGTCGAATGGCCGGATAGTGAAAGAGATGATGATATTTTACAAGACAACGTACAAAGTGACATCGAAGACCTTCGCTATTTCCTAACCTAAGTTCGCTATTTCGCCGACCCCATCAAACAGTCCGCATGTTGGCCCAAGGCGCGTTGGGGTCTTCACACATTCCCCGAAGGTTGTGATTCTTCTTCGCCATGCAGATTCCATCACGATATTTTCCTTCGCCGAAACGCTAAATTTAAATTTCAAATAAAATTTTACACATAAATTCGGAAAAACTCAGAGGTGCGAGCCCGGATTTGAACCCACGGTCTCTGCTTGAGTGGCAGTAAGGTCAAACCATTAGGATACAACGGCTGCTTTTTTTTTCAGTCTCAATTGGTCTATTAGCGATAATAAATTACCTGAGTCAAACAGAAGGAAATGTGCCGTTTGTCTATCAAAAATTAAAACGATCACAAGTCAATGAAATGAAATGAAATGAAAGAATTTATTTCAGACTACATGTCCATATAATGTTAGTAGGAACTTAAATAACTATGTTAGTAGAATGCAAAATTTTCATTTTCGTTTACATGAATGGACATCCAATGTTTAAGGATTGGGCTGTCCATCCTCTCTGCTATCACTCTAAGAAGACTGTTGGTACTGCCCCTCACTCTGGCCAACAGAGAAGCCACTCTTTTCCGAATGATGGCCTGGAAACCGTCGATTCTAGCCTCCGTGAACATCCCAGAGGCACTACAGTATCGAGGCAACCCCAATTGGACTCGCAGGGCACTGTAGGCTTGTTTTGGTGTAATTGCTCCAATGTGCGACAAATGTAATAAACTCCATTTCCGCAAACCTCAAGTCAACACTTATCCTAAGAGCCTTAGAGGCCAATTAGTTTTTTAATTCTCCATTTTTAATATAAATTATACTACATAATGTTGATTTTCTAACATTCATAGTTATAATTATAAATCCCAAGAAGAGATTTCAATATTTTTTGGTTCTATAACGTAAGGAATACCTATTTTTGTTATATATCGAGTTTTGTTTAATAATCTTCCCTCTTTTCTTTTTAACCGACTTCAAAAAAGGAGGAGGTTCTCAATTCGACTGTATGTTCTTTTCTTTTTTTTTTTGTATGTATGTTACGCGATAACTACGGTATTTGTGAACCGATTTTCATGATTCCTTTTTTGTTGGAAAGGGGGTACTTCCATAGTGGTCCCATTTTATTTTGAAGAAAATCATCTCGAAGGGTGGATTCACGCATGAAGATTCATTTTTATAAATAGCGGCTAACTTTAATTTAGGAGCAATTACTTTAATGGTTGATTTTGCTATTTCTCCAATTCAAGGCGTTTTTCCCTCAATATACTTTGAGTAGTGTCGTAGTGAACCTATTTTTATTACCTCCAGCGTCAAGTCCTGTATATTGGCGAACTAGGGGATATTTCAATAAAACTTAGCAAATAGACGTAGGTAGTACTTTTGAGGTCGGTTTTTTTAGTACTCTGTACTGAGATTATTATAAATAGCGTCTAAACTTTATTATAAGGACCAATTATTTTAATGGTTTATTTTGCTATTCTCCAATTCAAGGCGTTTTTCGCTCTCAATATACTTTGAGTAGTGAGAACCGATTTTTATTATCTCCTGTGTCAAGTTCCGTATAGTGGCGAACAAGGAGATGAATCCGGGTTTGCGCACTTTCCGGTAACCGACTTCAATAAAACTTGGTAATTCTACGTATACTTTTGAGGTCCTTTTTTTTAGTACTCTGTACTGAGATTATTATACATAGGCAGAATGACTCTAATAATACATTATCACAGACAAAAAATTTACACAATCAAAATTACGTGTACTTAAACTTTCACACGTTGAATCGACGTATAGTTATCTTTAACTTACTATAAAATATGGTTATCTTTCTAGGGTTAATCAGGGTAGATGCTCGTTCCTGCACTGCATCGAATGTTCGGACACCGAAAGAAGTTTTCAATAAAGGCTTCGCATAAAGCCCACTTAACCCTTTTTCCGATTGACTTCATAATTTGAGAGTAAATGTTTGTGATCTTTCGCTAAATTAGTGAAGGCAAAGTTAGCTCATTGCATATCCGTGAAGTTATTATAGGTATATACTCGGCAGGGACGGCGAGGGCTAAGAGCCCGAGAGGAGCCTAAGTAGGCAAAGTGCGTGCACCGGTGACGGTTATTAGAGATCCCGAAACCTCCTAACATGCACGGAAGAAGGCCACAAGGGTTAAGATCTAAGAATTCCACATAATCTGGCGTCCACTGGGTTTCTTAGAATAGTCATAAAAAAAAAATTAACACTAAAAAGTCGTTAAGAGTAAATGTCGCACATTGACGGAAATGTCAAATTAAATCGCAAAACAGCTTCAAACCCAATTCAATGGTATATTTAATAATTCTCGGTCGTAGTTTAGCCACACACGTTTTGCTAAAAGTGCTCAAGTGACGAAGCATAAAATAAATAAGCTGCATTCAACAGTCCCGTTCAAAATAAACGTAATTTCCATAGACTTACAAATAAATGGACGACGGGTCTAATACAAAAACCACGAAAAAAATGTCCCAAGTCAACCTATTCGAAATTTAAATTGTAATGTCATCGCAGTATCGCGCTGTCAGTAGAATGAAAACTAAAGCGGAGTGTCGCGCTCTGTATACGATTTTAGCGCCTTACAAGTGCGGACACTTTTTAGCGCGGACCCGACGTCCATATAATTGTAAGTCAATGGTAATTTCAGTCAAATATTAATTTACAAAGAGCAACCCCTAGAGATTCTTGATCATTCTTCTCAAGGGAATCTGCCTTACGAATTAGCAGTAGAGTTTAATCAATAATACAATTTCAAGTGTAATTTGCTTATCTATGAAATAAATATTATTTGCGTTTATCTCCTAACTTCCTGTAGGATAACTCGCTTGTGCAGAAGACCGTCCACCTTATCAGAGGAGCCTTGAAAATTTTATATATAACACATATCACTGACGATTATCCTTAATTTCCATTAGCATGGCGAGTCTAAGGTTGTTGCTCTTATTGTCACTAGTGGCATTTATAAATGCCAAACTAGGCAGACAATCAGAAAGTGCTATAGATGAATTAGAAAGGTATATACAAGAAAAGAAAGCTGAGATAAATCAAAGGTACAGGCTGCATTATCACGTCTCTGCTCCCGTGGGATGGATCAATGACCCGAATGGATTTTCCGTTTACAAAGGCGAGTACCACCTTTTCTACCAATTTTATCCTTATGACACCGTGTGGGGTCCGATGCACTGGGGACACGTGGTTAGCCCCGATCTAGTCAATTGGCAATGGCTGCGAACTGCGTTGCTTCCTGAAGAAGAATATTGTTTCTCGGGCAGTGCTGTTGTCGATAACGACACATTGGTTCTCATGTATACTGCCCATATAGAGGATGAGGATGAGGAGGGGTTTGACCAAACTCAATACCTGGCTTTTAGTGATGACGGTGAGAGGTTTACAAAGTATGAAGGAAATCCAGTGATACCTAGACCAGAAAATGGTTCACCACATTTCAGAGATCCTAAAACATGGAAACACGGAGACTACTGGTACACCGTTATTGGTGCTAGAACTATAGATGACAGAGGCACAGTTCTTCTTTACAGGTCCCCTGATTTATTTGATTGGGAATTCTTGACGGACTTAGGAGAATCTGATGGAACAATGGGATTTATGTGGGAGTGCCCAGATTTCTTTGAACTGGCCGGAAAATATGTACTTTTGTTATCGCCTGAAGGCGTGGAACCGCCACCCGGTGGTTTATATAGATCTCACATAACTGGATACATTATAGGAAGCTTCAATTATACTACCTATGAGTTTATACCTGAGGTGGAATTCCAAGAACTTGACTATGGTCATGATTTCTACGCTGCGCAGACGACAGACAGGGATGGTAAAAGGTATGTTGTCGGTTGGTTTAATATGTGGGGAGTAGATCATCCCGAAAATGTTGATGGATGGGCTGGAGCGTTGACCCTGATAAGAGAATTGCAGCTGTATGGAAATCGTCTCTTAATGAAACCCGTTGATGATCAAGTGACCTTAAGACAAGGTTCTATAAACGTCACTTTGCAAACAAACTATGGAGTTTCTTTTGATGCTACTGGAGAAATGATCGTTGAAGGCGACCTGGACCAGGATATAGTGTTGGAATTGACTGGGAACGCTGGTGGTCAACAAGTTTGGTTGCGTTGGAATTCAGTAACCAAGATTGTATCCGTTGACAGAGGAAACGGTGACGTTAGACAGGTTGATTGGACTCCTATAGGGAGTACGTCCTGGAGGATATTCCTTGATGCCAGTACTTTAGAGCTATTTTGTGGGGAAGGAGAAGTGGTGTTCAGCAGCCGTGTGTACCCTGACGGTGGATGGTTGGTCTTTAATAGGAGTGTCCAGCCTTTGCAAGTGACAGCTTTTTTACTGAGCAGAAGCATTCCAGTTTAATTTTAAACGAAAATTTTTTTTTTGATAATAATATAAACTGTTTGTTGTTGTTTTACGCTGTAACTTTCATATAATAAAGAATATACTTTTATAAAAATCTGTAAACTTATTTGGCTTGCAAGGAAGTGCGACAAATAATAATCTCAGTACAGAGTAGGTACCAGAAAAACCGATTTCAAAAGTCATTTATCCCCTAGTTTGCCACCCTAAGCCTCGAAACACGAAATCTACGAGCTCGCATGACGCATCGTGAATCGTTCCGCATCGCGCATTCCTGCGATGTGAATCTTCTTTGTGTTTTTTCGTATACTTTCTTATCAATAACAGCAGTGCAACACTCTTTTTACGATCCATATCGCTACCTATTTTAAAAAATGCGTTCAGTACGGTTGACGTTCGTAGAAGGAATAATTACCCGAACCGTGGCAGTGAGATGCCTTGCCGCAGTAATTCGCGTCGCAGTTATTCTGCGCTGCGAATTCGCAGTTTTGTGTTTCGACCCTTAGAGGTGGAATATTTTCTTCAAATTTAAATGGGACCACTAGTGAGGTGCACTCTTTTCGATAAAAAACAAAAAAATGCACAGTTGAATTGAAAATCTCCTCCTTCTTTTGAAGTCAGTTAAAAAACGATTATTATTACTTTTAACAATTACCACTGCCTTTTCTATCTTTTTTTATGACACCTAGAGACGGGGTAAACAAGTCGTGCGGTGATAAGTGACGCGCCTTCAAAACCGGGAGGCAGCAATGCTCATATGACTGCTTGGCTAACTGCCTCCGTGACCGAACGGTTACCACTTATTTCCCTCGTGAGTTTGGCTGTAATTTGTGGTTGTCTATGTGTGTGTCCATGGCACCCGCGACACAGGGTTTCTAAAGGTACTAAAAACTACGATATAGTGATTATAATTACAATTTGAAAGTGAGATAATTGAGATAAACAGCCTCCGTGGCCTAACGGTTACCATGCTGGTCGCCACGCAAAGGTTCCGGGTTCTATTCCTGGGTCGGGCGAAATATTTATTATAGCTTACGCTAACTTCTCTCGTGAGTTTAGGTGTAATTTGTGGTTGTCTATGTGTGTGTCCATGGCATCCGCGATACACGGTTTCTCTACGAATTAGGGGACCACCAAGTGTGTGCGTCAAGACAAATCACAGAAAATAAATATCTAGATTGTCCACATCTGAATATCGGAGATTCAAGAAAAAAATTACCAATTGACTGGTTGCCGTAAAAACTACAATCTATTTTATACATACAATTACAAATATATAAATAAAAAAATTGAAATTATATAAATATATAGTGACATAACAGGAACATGGGACTTGTTAACGTATGTCTCAGGGTGACGGGCGCAGTGGCAGTGTCCCTTAGATCTTTGCGATTTAAAGCTCTGAGTGGCGCTGCAACTGTTATGGCCAGGCGTGTCGCTTACCATCAGGCGCACGACTCGTCCCTTCACTTAATATTATAAAAAAAATCGATAAGCTTTTGAAATCTATTACATATAAGAGCAATCATTCTTTACGAGTATAACATCACAGGCTTGTTGGGTGTAAGCGCTAATCATTTGTTTATAATAAACTATTTAAGTTTATTTATAAACTTAAATACATGACTGCACACGTGGCAAGAGTCGATAGGCATGACAACACACGTGACCTGTATGAATGGTCCCTTATCTAGCCTAGACCATTCAACAAATAAATCCGTTTTTTTGCAATTTAGTGCGTATTAATTAAATTTTTATTGAATTGATATTTTTTTTGTTATAATTTTTATTGAATTGATATGATGTTATAATAACAAACTAGTGGAGTCATTTCACAAAAAAAAAATTGAATATCAATTCAATAAAAATTTAATTAATACAGTGAATAGCGACATCTCTCGCCAGGACTGGTAGCTGTAAAGGTACTAACTGGGTGATAAATCTGTCAAAGATTTCTCATAGATGGCGCTACGACTAAAAAGTCGTTGAAAGACCAAGTACAAAGACACGACGCAAGCACATAGAAAAATTCGTGAGGTCCGTTGGTTCGTTCCGTGGCTTAGTTGGTATAGCGTTTGGCACGGTATACAAGAAGACGTCGGTTCGAATCCGACCGGATCGAAGGAATTTTTTCATAGTGCATATGTTTATAATAATTGTAATTTTTTTTAAATAAAAATACCGATCTCAAAAGTCCGTGAAATTACATCTATTTGCCAAGTTTTACTGAAATCGGTTACCGGAAAGTGCTTAGAAGAGGAACTCTTTTCTTCGAATTTATATGGGACCAATACTGAGGTACCCTCTGTCCAATAAAAAACAATCTTCAAAATTGATTCACAAATCGGAGTAATCGCGCAACATTCATATAAAAAGTACAGTCGAATTAAGAACATCTATCTTTTTTTGGAGTCGGTTTAAAAAGACCAAATATAAATACAAAATGCTTTATTTCTCTGAAAAAGGTTTACAAAATGCAGATTTGTTACATTTCATGTTAAATATGAAGCACCTTAGTGAGAGCTGGAGTCTGTACTAGGTTGGGGA